GAAGTCTGGAATTTTAGTGGTTGCTAAACAAAGAATGCCTATGTGACTAGCCCAGATAAGATCCCTAAACTCTGAGTCTCAGATGGGCTTCTCTGAGCAGAAACATCACACACCTATTGCAGTATTTCCACTGCTGGGAGGAAGGAGAGCTCTCTGTGACTTCTCACGGCAACTTGCAAATAGATTTCTCCAGATTCTACTTCCATCTTTTCCTCTACTGACCCTGCTGTGCATGCTTACCATGTCACTGTAATAAATATTAGACATGAGTATAATATATTCTTATTCCTTCTAAAGAATCACCAAATGTGGGACCAGCAGTTAGCGTAATGGCTATGTCGCTGAACTCTCACGTAGTCGATCGCGGTTCATGTTCTGGACCTGGTGGCTTAAAACTCACACCGGGTGCGTGTGTGTGTGCCCAAGATCCCGAGAGGAGAATGAAGGAGAAGGGACTGCGGTGTGGCCATCCCCCCTGGGGGGTGATTTCTCGCTTTCTAGCTCTCTGTCTCTGTCTGTCTGGCGAGCGCATGTGCCCTTACTTATAGCAAAAACCTCTCCAAAAAAAAAAAAAAATCACCAAATGTGCAAGTGGTCTTGAGGAACCCCCAAAATAAGACTTTCGGTTTGAATTTTCATGTATTTTTGAGTAGCTCAAAACATTAAAACTAGGGGGAACCAGCAGTTAGCGTAATGGCTATGTCGCTGGACTCCCACGTAGTCCACCGCGGTTCGTGTCCCGGACCCGGTGGCTTAAAACTCACGCCGGGCGCGTGTGCGTGCGTGCCCAAGATCCCGGGAGGAGAATGGAGGAGAAGGGATTGCGGCGTGACCATCCCCCCTGGGGGGTGATTTCTCGCTTTCTGTCTCTATGTCTCTCTCTGTCTGTCTGGCGAGCGCACGCGCCCTACAGTGAAAATCTCTCCAAAAAAAAAAAAACATTAAAACTAAAAAATATTACTCTAAAATTAGTATGCCCATCTAAAACAGGTGAAACTGGCCTTCAAAATGGCTGCCATTCTGTAAATAATAGACTAGGTGGGGGCTGGCAGGTGGCACTGGGGGTGAAGGTGGATTCCCACATGGCTGACTGCAGTTCGAGTCCCGGATCTGGCAGCTTGCTTTCTCACTTTCTCTCTCTCTGTGTCACTCTATCCCTCTCTGGTCAAATTGAAATAAACAAATGAATAAATTAATAAATAAAGTTAAATAAAAGAATTCTTTAAAAACATTTTTAAAAAAATAACAGACTAGGTGAGAGTTTAGTTCACGGGCTCTGAATCCCAAAATAAAATTCTTCCAGCAATTTCCCAGGTGTTAAAAGATAAATGTTCTCCACTAGGCAGAATGCAAAGGTTACAGCTCAGGTATACTTATTCAAAGCCAAGGATTTTTACACTCCGTGCTTTGAAGACATTGACTGTAGATGTGCCAGAATTGAAAATACCAGAGCCAATTTCTGGAAAAGGAAGTTATTATTCTAGTGTTCATATTCCGTGTCACGTTTGCTTAGGGTTGATTACAAACAGTAATCTTGTTTGACAGAAATATAGCCCCAACTCAGCTCATATTAGAGCCTGGTCATCAAAGCAGTCATTTGCTTTTCAAAGCTCACTAATCCCATGGGACTGGGCAGAGGAACTGGAGTACAAGTTTCCTCTGGTTTCTTGGTGTCTGTCCCTGGATTAATTCAGAGTCACCATTCTTTCTTGCAAAACCCCCGGAATGCGTCAAGATTAGACTAGACTATATCCATCCTCCCCTGCTACCTGCACGTATTACTTTAACGGGTAATAAATGGCCCCTGTGTGCTAGGAAACCAAGGAGACAAAGATAAATAGGATACTGGCTGCTTCTAAGGAATGCACCACTTTGTGCTTGATACACAGGAATTCTCTCACGACCATGGAAGTTACTAGGCAGCTGTGATTCCACTACCAGCATCAGAGCTCTGCTAAGCAGTCTTTCCTTCTCCCAGGACATATTAGATCATGCTCATGCTCAGGAGTCACTAGCAATCAGTCACTTTCATCAGAAACTGTAGAAGAACTTTACCCAGAAACCACCAGCCTCCATGCAGGAGCCAGCAGACCATCTAGAGCTCAGGTAGAGTCCAGGCAGACCAGAGAACATGTGTTTTATCAGTTGAAGCTTGCAAACTGTCACATGGTATAGTGAATTATTTCTCCCAATCATCTAACTTGTTCCACATCGCCCTCCATTTACGTGTGAGAATTTGAAATAGTGGAGACTATAAAGTGGCTGTAAAGGGTCACAGTACATCCAATGTTGGCCCACACTAGGATTTCCAGTCTTTTAGGCAAGCCATGCAACCTCAGAATCAGAAAGCTCCTCTCCGTATGAAATTGCTCGTGCAGAACCACAGTGCATGAGCCAGATAAAGCAGAGCTGCTCAGTAGAGAACCTGGAGTCCCCTCAGCCTGTTCCTCAAGGCAGCAAGACTCCAGCAACATGGGCATAATTCAAAAGCCAGTGCACGGGCTCAAGGAGTAATCATTCAGGGAGTAATCATTAATTCACTAAGATGCCTGGCATGCAAAATATGTAGAGCTGCTCCTATATTAACACACAGAGAAAGTAAATACTAGAGACCCGTAAGCTTCTCCCAGCAGCTAAAGTCATTGATAAGCAGGCTTGAGTATCACAAACATACATGTATACTCCATGCCCAGACCCCGGCAGCCCCCAGTGGCGGTACTGCAAGGGTTTGTTTGCTGAGATGAGGATTGGCAATGGTAATCTTCAAAACATATATCCACTTAATGTGGTAATTACCGAACCTAAGTCCGATATTCTGGCTACTTGCTTCCACTTTTAAAGTCATTACATATGGTGTAATATTCTTAGATGAGAAAAAGCACAGATAAATTCTTCCCCAACTAATATTTAAATGTAATGAAATTTCACTTAAAATCCCTAAGGAATTTTTTTTTCAGATCTGAGTTTAAAAATCACCATACAGGGCCAGCCCCATGGCACAGTGATTAAGCACTGCACAAAGGAAACCACGTCCCACATGGTTGCCCAAGGTTGAAATCCCAGCTCCAGCAGGTTGAAAAACATGCCAGGTATATGTGCAATGCCTAGCATCCCGATGGGATGGAGAAGTGGAGGAAAAGGGATGGTAGTATGACTCCCTTGGGACATTCTCTTTCTCTCTCTCATACTTATGAACGGGTACTTCTAGCATTAAAAAAAAAAAAAAAAAAGGCAGAAAGAAAAGT